TATAACATACATACATGCTTACATAAGTACAAACATACATGCGCTTCGGCCCGGTTAAATCATTCCAGCTGTCCCGAATGTGGGTTGGCTTATCAATTTGTCATGCATCTCAATGAACTTTTGCAGATACTTTTTCATCACACAATGGAAAACATCACAGTTAACGCATGAAATGCAGCCTTAGCAGCGAAGAAAAAACATCTCTTTCGCTCTTTCCAGCAGGCCTCTGATACTTGTGTGGAAGCTGGTATTTTCGCCCAAAAGCTGTTGTTCGTTATAAAACTAATTCGATGCTCCCGTATGAATTCCCTCAAGACCTCACAATGTTTTGAAGATTCGAGAGATAAAGTACATCTGCTCAAATGAACGTGACGCAGAGGAATCTGTTTATCCACTTTTCATTTGTGGATGGATCAGCTGCGGCTTATCGTCCACATTCCTCATGCACCTATAATTAAATTAAAGGAAGCATCTCATTACTTGTTTACACAATATTTTTTGCCTCTGTTCACCAAGATCGTTTATTTATTATGTATTCACTATCGTTTATACAGTACAGACTTTCCGTCAAAAGAGCAGTGAGCAGGATGCTCAGTCCAACTAAGCGTAATCCGATGGACAGGACATGTTGCTTGCCTTGTAATAACCGGTGGACATTGTGCATTAGTGAGTGGTAAACATGAGAATCTGAACAACCATTTAGGAAGTTCTTGAAGAGCTGGTTCACACACGTCGAAGGACGGTGGGCACTAATTGGCGATAAGCAGCTCAGGATCATAAGGCCTGGTAAAACTGCATCCGATATAGGGGAGCATCTCAGTGCCATTAAAATGCGATGACCAAATCGACTTATTATTTGCCTTTCTGCTTACGAATTTGTATATTGCATAAACGACGAAAACAAAAAACATGAAGCGCCAAGTTTACAGGCGGGACTAGCATTCGTTGACGGGGTAATTGAGGAAGAGGATATCAAAGATTGGACAAAAATGTCGAAGATTTTGGAAAGTCAAAAGCCCAATTGGACACCCGGACAAGGAGTCGGCTACCATGCAATGACATTTGGCTGGCTGGTGGATCAGCTCGTCCGCAGGATCGATCCTAAAAAACGATCCCTCGCGCAGTTTTTCAAAGAGGAAATAGCGCAACCACATGGCAAGTCTTTCACTTTTCGTGCACTTTTGCATAAAATAAACGATGTGCACAATGTGCAAAAATGCTTAAAAAATGCAAGTTTTTTTTTGCACAAATTATTTTCTAGCTTTAAAATCGCACAGTGAAGACCGAGGTGATCGATATTCTCATCTTTTTTCCAGCCTTTTTTTTACATTGTATCAGTTTGACGAATTTCTATGTGCGGCTGTTCAGTGACCAACTGGATAGCCGCAGCAGCTTATTCAGGTGCTCAGTGCTGTTATTTAAGACGAGATTCTAGCAGAACCCTCTAGCCGTAATCCGGATAATCCTGGCGGCTTTCCGTATGAAACGCTTTGTGCATCCAGGTGATGCGTTTATGACATTGTAACGTTGACCGTTTATGTAACAGGCAATCTTTCTGTTGCAACGTAAAAGTCGCTCATATTAAACAGAAAATTTGTCTTGTGGTTTTTGCGAAGGTGCTGACTTCGAGGCCTGACTTTACTCAAAATTTCAATTCTCAATGATAATTTGCATGAGTAAATGGTGGAGGCATGCATGCAGATGTGGATTTGATCATCGGCGCTCCAGTGGAGCTCGAATACAGGATAGCGCGTCTAGCATCTGAGCCGAAGTTGCTAGCAGCACGAGAGATACTGGAATATCCAGCACTGCTGAAGATGGTCTGGAACGCAATGTACGCGTCTGTCGCTACAGGCGATCGGCTACTTGGCAAAATGCATCAGAATTATGCTTGGATGGGAAGCGTAAGTTTTTATTTTATGGTACAGCTGAACTTTTCGGACCAATTTTTTGGCAACAATGAGAAACAGCCAACAAAGAAATTTGCGAAATCAAATATTACAGGGTGCTTTAAAGTTCAATAACCCAGAAATCCGATCTCTGGAAATGCCAGCTGCAACTGGAATGAGTACAGCTCGAGCACTCGCCAAACTCCATTCACTGCTAGTTGAAGGGAAACTGTTGAAACAGTCAACCACCGAACGGCTGTGCAGCACTCCACCAGTTCTCAATCAACCGGATTTGGTCATATCGCAACCCGTTTCTTTTGGAAGAGGATTTTGGTACTCGAAAAATCCACAGGTAGTCAATCAACGAAACCAGTATTTTAGAATTTTTATCTCAGTCCAGAATTTTTTTCTTTTCATCAGCACTTGGTAGATGATGGATGATTCACAGCTGTTATGAGGTTCATGTGTTCCGCGTTCTACCGACAGAAACCCATTTACTGACTGTGTTCCTTGCTCAGGTAATATTACTTGTGTTCCTTGCTCAGGTAATATTATCAGAATCCATTGTGATACTTATTGGCGCAGTTGTTTACCTCTTTTTTTATGGCGCCTAGTGCTGTTAAATGTGATAGGAGCATGTCGCATTCACGCGTTT